GAAGTTGGGAGGTGTGCTAGTTTGGGGTGATAGCAGTTATGGTGACAAGATGTGAGCTTTGTATTTTCGTTGGATGCTGATCAGGCACGTGCTTCACCGAGGCGTAGCGCCTTCCCACCGTTTCTGACATGTCTCCGAGAAAGGTGTCCGCAGAGCATAACGTTTATGTTTACCGCTTGGTTCGAACAAGGTACGTGGTGGAAGGTGAGCACGTTCATTGGAAGTGGTGGAAGTGGCGTAAGGAAGTAGTCCGGAGGGTGTGCGCGGGAGGAGTGTCGTATTTAATTTGTGATGGCGTGTTGGGTAGTCGATGACGATTTGTTTGGTGTTGGCAGGTGGACTCAATCATGTCTGCTTGCAGTGAAGAACTTTATGTCTGTGTGGGAAAATGCACTTAGGCTTACCAGAGCGCTTCGAAAGATCTGACGGATATCAACAATCGGCCGAACAGCAGGTGGGAGTCGTATTGCTCGCAGGGTCGCATATGGGTGGATTTGTGAACGTGCCGAAATCGGACGAGCGTCCGTGTATCCTCCGCAGCATCGGGGAGGGTCGTCTCTGGGTGGCTGTGTTGGTTGCGATTTGTGTTGGGATGCCGTTTCAGTAGGGTTGGTTTCTTTTGTGGGTGAGGGTTCAGTTGCCGTGCATGTTTCGTTGAAGCCACGGTGGGATGGTTAGAATACGGTGGACACGATGTTTGGTATGCTGCGAAGTGTTACTCCGCAACAATCAGACGTAGAGAAGCTTTGCATTGGAGTGCGGGAAGAGAGCATTTTCTGACCAGGCTGCGTGGTTTGTGGTGAGCAGGCGGTTGGGAAGGTTGAATTTTGGAGACGCAGATGTGAACGCGAGTGATATATTGGTGTCGAACAGCTCAGATCCTGTTGGTGGAAACAGTAACTGTGAGTGGATGTGGGCGAAAGCAGATTCCAGTATTCTCAGGTTGTCTTCATAGAAGCGATCGGGATGTGACAGGTAACCCACTTGGATGGTAGCCCAGCATCCACGGACGTGGGTTCCAACACACTTTGTATATGTATGTGTACGATTCATGCAAACAACGCTTCGTTGAAATTTAGTTGTGCAGATTATTTCTGTAGGGTTCTGTAGGGTTCTGGCAATGTGGTGCTCACGGGCACTACGATTATCGTCGGGGCAGAATACGTGTAGAGAGGTTGTTGTGGCAGGTGAAAGTGATCCGAGAGGTATCTGTGAGGAAGCGTTCCCTTCTTTACATTAGGTCTTTGTGGTAGTCACCCCCATGACAGTACTCAGAAATTCTGATCTAGGTGTGGTTACCTTAGAGCTAATTTATGGAGATGTACAAGCTTGCAAGCTTATATATTTCTTTAATTTTGCAGGCTTAAATATTTTGACGAAATTAAGGTTGTTAAATTCAGCAACTTGCCAATCACAATTGATTACTCTTCTAATCTTGTGCATTTTGACAACCATGAAGGAAAAAAGAAATCGTGGTTGATCATTATGAAAGAAAATGTAATTTATTGTTTCTCTTTGAGAGAATGAACTGGAGCGTATATATTTAAGCCTGCAAAATTAAAGAAATATATAAGCTTGCAAGCTATAAGTTGTTCTACTCTTTTTTCTCCTTTGGTTGTCTTTTTTGCCACTGAGGTAAGATTTGGAACCACCACATATACTGATTGTTTATGCCATATTTGCTTCTTTATAAAGATTATTCCTACAAATAAGCTCTTAGTTGTAGATTGTTTTGCTATCCTTTTTGATAGAAGGGCACAAAGAGTCACTATGCATCCTCTATCTTTGAAGGAGATTGTCCTTGCTAGCCAATAAACTTGTTTATTTCCTAGTTCTAGCCATGGCAGACTAAGGATAATATTATATCTAAGCTTTGTTACTCTAAACTTCTCCTTCAAGGCATATGTATCATTTAGCCTTACGATGTCATATTATAATTATTTATAGTATGTAAAAATTAACTAAAATATATAATATATTTATAAGTATTGATATATATTAGAGTAGTTAGTATATTAATTTAAAGAGAGTTGATATAAAAAAAATTATTTTTATATTGATTATAGTATTTAAATTTTATAGAATTTATATATTTAATATAAATTTAAGGAAAAGATTGGAGCTTAAAGATAAAAATCCAAACCTCTAAGAAACTTATTTGGAGGAATGAAAGCAAGGTATAGATGGATGAAGGCTAAAGGTAAAGATTTTCATCCCTATTGATCAAAGATCATGCCCAATAGGCATTCAACAAGCATTCCACAACCGTAACAAGGATTTTGGCGACTTCAAAAGGAACATTCAAGAATCAAAAGTAAGGATTATAAGATTTAGAATTTGGACTACAATTTGTATGTAAATTTTAGAAGATTTGGAATTATGGTGATGAAATTATAGCCATTTGAAGTTAAGGTATCTTTTTAAGTTATATTATTGCTCTTTTGAAGATACAAGGAGTTTTATGACAGATTTTGAGAATCAAAATGTACAATCATAAGGATTATTTTAAGAGCTATATTATTTATAGAATAATTTCTATATTTGAAGTTTATATGAAAAAATTATAGAGTGTTGAAGACATCACATGTAAATCAAAGGCAGTAAGTGAGTTGTTTTGTTGATAGTAATAGTTGGAGCCATATCTTAAGTTTTTGGATGAAGTTTTGGCCCCAAATTTTCAAAAGTATAAGTTATTAGATTAAAAAGCTATATATCAAAGTATTATGGTATTTAAATATTTAATCTATGAAATATGAAGAAAATTGCATATATATATATATATATATATATATATAAGTAAACAAGAATTTGAAGCCATTATTAAGATTTTGGCAATATCTCAAGATCCATAATGAATTCGCAATTAAAATTTGTTATGATATTTGTTAAAATCATAACAATACTTTGTGTAAAATATGAGATTGTTTGAATAGTCCAATTAAGAGATATGAGCTATTGAAGTTCAAGAAAAATTCACCTAAAAGATATATAAGATTTTATAATATTTTTATCACATTTTTAATGACCTTATGTATGAAGGACTTACGTATTGATGTAATTGTCTTTATAGGAATAATTTTATATATAGACTTAGTATTTTTTTATCTTAAAGCTTGGTTGAGCAATTAGTAGTAGCTAGAAGGCCAACGCTTTCTTAAGGCAAATTCTCTCTACTCTGACAATAGTTTCTTCTTCAATTGTCTCGTTTAATATATTTTCTTAATCATTTGTTAAGTATACATATCCTCCTTTATCTACCTTTATTTTTATTCAAAATTGGTTGCAATTATTGTCGAGATGTAATTTTTTGTAGAGCTACAATTTACAAGCACTCGACATAGATGTCTTCTTAGTTGATCCATTAGACATACCAATTGATTCTTTTGATAGTTGTACAAGGCTATGCCATTTGTGTCTAAGAAATAGCAATTATTTCCAATACTAGCCATTGGTGTCTTTATTAGAGAGCTATGTTTTCTTGCTCTACTTCTTCATCAATTTGTTGGCCCTCGAGATTATGAACCTACAGTGATTTATTGGTACTTGAATTTTGACGTTTT